GAAGCCTCCCTACTTTTTATCTACCGTGACACAAGTTGTTTAAAAAAATTACACGGGTTAAAGTAAAAAAACAACTTTTTTTTTTAGTTTTGTTACCTTTTTTGTCTATAGGTGGCATAGAAAACAAAATCATTTTTGCAATGCAATATCACTAAACGAAAACCTTGTTTGTCCCGAAAATAAAAAGATACGTGTAAAACTTAGTTAATTTAGATGTGGCCCTCCAGCTGACTTATACATAAAGTGCGGCCCTTGCGCCTTTTTAGGTTGAACACTTTAAAGTGGATGACTGTACTATTACTAGGGGTGAGGTAAGCGGTGAGGATTTACCAAGGTGGCAAGAGAGAAATATCTATCCTCTGCTCATAAACCTTTCTGAAGCACCGAGCCATGGAAAGTGCTGGTGGACAACCAGGACCTTCCATGGACACATGCGCACCCACATATGGATCAGGTTTGTTGTGTAAAATCAATACCTGGCGTAGCTCCTCGGTGAGGATGGAGAAGACCCAAACATACAACAGATATTCCTTCCAGGAAGGATAGGTCTGGAAGTCGATCATCAGAACATACGCAAAAAGCCACAAGAATCCAATATATGACACAACGTTATAATAGAACTTCACAATTGGAGCGGTGAAGAAAGCCTTGAGCTTCCAGGAACAGGTGTACGGTCTGGGTCTGGAGGAAAAATTGGGAAATTTTCGGTCATCAGAGTTCAATAATATAACTGATATATAAAAACAATCATTTTCAGTACTACAGGCCGGTGGCTGGTGTTGAGGTGTCACGTACCTGGGTGGAGACTTCCCTTGCTCCACTAGTCCAACTCCCCTGGAGATGATAACAGGATAAGTGGGGACTCAGGGACACACGAGTGCCGCTGCGTTGGTAAACACGGCTTCTGAATTTGATGGCGCTGACCTCAGTACGGTAATGGCAGAGACTGGGCCACAGGCTGGGCAGCAACATGGAGTAATGGGCTGGAGCGGACATGAAGAGACACAACACAGAGTCCAAGCAGGAAAGCCCAGTGGATGCCACAGGTGAATCAGGAGCATAGTCGAGGTCACAGGCCATGGTCATTCACAGTGAAACACTTGCAAGGATAAGATGCCAAATCAAGAAACACAGAGTAGTCGGGGTCACAAGCCAGGATCAAACACAAGGAAGCCAGTTGCCAGGTAGAATTGCCAATTCGGTAATCAGAAACAGGGTCAAGGATGAAGCCGGATCAGAACACAGGAAGCCAAGCAGCAGGATCAGGATACAGCTGTGACCAGTCAGCAATGGATTCAGGACTCACACTGACTTTATAGTGGATCAGATGTCACTCAACGTGCGTGCGTAGCGAGCTGACGTTTGCGTGCACGGAATCCAATACGCGCGCGCCGTTTATTAAGAGCATATTTGCCTTTAAGCCTAAGTACAGGAGCACGCTGCAGGACATGCGCATGAACCCGGGGTGGCTTTCTGTACCTTACATGAGGTGACTATGAGGTGCTCATTAGAGACTGCTGTAGAGGCGGTTATTATCAAGGCCAATTGACAGACGTCTATGATAACGGTCAGGGTGCAGGTGTTTAAGATGGAGGTTGGTTGAGAGGTGTTTATAATGGAAGCTGGTGCGGAGGTGTTTATGATGGAGGCCAGTGTCAGGTGTTTCTGATGGAGGCTTGTGTGGTGGTGTATATGACAGAGACCAGTATGGAGGTGTTTATGACTGAGGATGGGGTGGAGGTGCTTATGAAAGAGGCCAATGTGGAGGTATTTAGGATGGAGACTGGTGAGGCGTTTTTTTTAAGATGGAGCCTTTTGTGGGATCTCTAGAATGAAAGCCAATGTGAAGCTATTTGTAATGGGGGCATAGAATGCATTTTCAGATAGGATTTTTGGCAAATAATGTGATTTCAATGTTCTATTTAATTATGCAATTAAAGGTCACTACCAGATAAGCAAGAGGAGAACAGACTGGTATTCACACAGTTAGTCCTCAACTAATGGGCAGCGTTTTGTAGCCACTGTAGGCAGGGCCGGATTTTCCACAAGGCCTGGTCTCGGGGCAGCAGGGAGTAGAGGGGCGGCACACCCGCCGGACGTATAATTTTTTCTACATTTAGCTCTGCTTCGGGCAATCCGGGCTAAATGTACAGCTGCTCGTTTTGTACAAGTGATCTCAGCGATGTCACCAAGATCACTTGTATGCAGCCTGCAGGTCAGTCCCCCCCCTCCATGGTCCGCCCCCCCTCCATGGTCTGCCCCCACCTCTCCGAACCTGTCATCTTCAAATGCTATCACACAGCAAAAAAAATAAAAATGGAAAAGTAAAAAAAATATAAATTAAAACAATAGTAAAGAAAAAATAAAAAAAAAGAATTAAAACCCTGCCGTCCGTCCATCAGGTTGCCATTCTCCATTTGGGGGGGGGAGAGGCATTGAGGAACCCGGCCTTACGGCAACAGAGAGAGTAGATCCGGCCCTGGCCTTAGCTCAGCAATTAAATAAGTTTATGGATGGATATTTGATCAGAAGCTGGATACCACCATGGAGAGGTTTGTGGTGAGATGATGGTCAGTGACATGGGTGGCTTTGATCTAGGTGGCAGATATTGACAGCTGTAGGGGGCTGAGATGGGTCTGTCTCCAGGATGGTAAGGATGATGATGATAAGGTGGGCACAGGCCACAGAATCAGTTAGCTCCTCTGTGTTTATACAGTTGTAATCTTGAGGCGTCTCATCTCTATGAGCACATGGTAATTACATGGCTCATAATAGTCAGTGTCAACACTAATAATATTTAATCCGGATTTGGTAATATAATAACTGAGGATGTCCACTCTGCCTTACCTCCTTGATGTTTCCTCAGGACCTTGGCGAACACTCCGATTTCTCCGCTCGCTTGAAGTTGCATCGAGGAAAGACGGGGAGTTTGTGAAGCCTTTCCTACAATAAAAGCGGTGCAAGAACTGGTTTAAACATCGACAGGAACTGAGTGTATGACATATAAGCATAACAAGAGATATTATTGACTATATATCTGTGATACCTTAGAAATTGTTTCTTCATCTGTAATCTTCTATATACTATTGATCAGGCCTGGACACCAAACTGGCCAGTCTAGTGATATGGAGGAGGCCTGGCATGTCTGATAGCCCAGGGCAGCTCACTTGTCCTGTTAAACTGCAATCAGCCCTTTCCAATAACACCAATCCCATTGATTCCATTGCACATGGTCCCATGTTGGATCAACAACAAGATCAGTAAAAAATCAAAGTCCAAAACTAACATTTTCAGTGCCTAAAGCTGGCCACACCCCTTACAATTATCTGCAGATTTTCTGTGGTCAGATGGAAAAGGTGCAACAGATTCCTCCATCTACACTTAACTGTGTGGATGGAGTAATCTCCACCTGGGCCAATCTGTTGCACATTTTTCCAGCTGACCACAGAAAATCGGCAGATAATCTATAGGTGTATTGGCACCTTAAAGCAAAACTCCTGACTCAAAAAAACCCTTTAGAACAGTTTAATATTCCTTAAATATCATAAAATCTTTCTTTTTATTACTTTTCCCTAATCTCTTGTACACAAAAGATCATTGGGGAAGGTGTTTAGGTATTCTTAGTTAGAAAAGATGGGGCATTGAGGAATGGGGGTTTAAAACAATGAAAGATACACACAATATATGTGTTTTATCTATTTGCCTGTAGTTCAGCTGGTCATAGCCCCCAGATCTGTCCTGACCGAATTTGTACCTCCTATGCCAGGCCAGGTTAGATGATATTTTATGTGTAGCTGCTCCGGCCTGTGACCGTTGGTATCGGAATACTACCGAGCTTTCACGTGTTATCCTCACTGGTTAAAGATCAGTATTTTTGCAGAGTTGGTGGTTGCTCTGCCCTGGGCGCGAATCACAGAGATCCACCATTGCTAAGCCCCCCCAACTACGCAGACACTGGCTGGCCTTTCACCATTGATATTCACACTGATGACCAGACATCCGGATGGCAGAATACTCAGCAATCTATAAATAACTGTAATGGGAGAAATGACTGACCTGTAGCCGATGAGGCCGCTGTAAATGAGAGGGACGAGCAACATACACAGCAAAATCTGGATGAAGCCATTGTCCACTGAGAGGTTCCCCCACCAGGTCTTTGTGAGAAGCATCTGCGGGAAGACATTGGACAGTTTTTCTTTATATTGTTTCATGTGGCACAGGAGGGTAGGGTATCAGAAATCAGAGTAATGAGCAATAGAAATACTATGATCTCTGGCTACCCTAAGAGATACTATATGGCTGCCCCAAGATATCTGGGCAATTCAGAAATGGGCAAAAAATAAACCACGTAACACTAGATTAAAGGGTATGAGCACAAATGCTTGAGGTTTAACTACCAAAGTGGAGGATCTTGAAATTCTATTACTCGAGGAGGACTTCCGCTTGATGGAAGTAACAGTCAGAAACCTGGCTGGACAGCTCGCATCATTAGGCAGTTAATATACAAGAGTATCACCTATTTTGGAGGCACGGGGTCGGTAGAAGGAGAGGAGAGGTGTGCATGTATGTGAAGAGTGATCTGAAAGTGAACATGCGAGACAACCTCACTAATGACAATTGTGATGGTGTGGAGTCTTTGTGGCTGGAGCTAAATAAGAATGGGCCTACTTTAAAACGGATTGTGGGTGTATGCTATAGACCCCCCAACATAAAGGAGGGAGAGGAGACTCAGCTCCTCTCACAGATTGAAATGGCTGGGAAACAAGGAAACATTATTATAATGGAGGGCTTCAATTATCCCAACATTGATTGGACTAAAGCAGGGGTCAGCAACCTGCGGCTCCGGAGCTGCATGTGGCTCTTTCATCCCTCTGATGCGGCTCCCTTTCCAGCCTGAGGCTGTGGGGGGGTCCAGTGAGGTCCGGTCCTGGGCAACCCTCTAGTGGAATATGCAGCAGTGCAGGGTCCTGTGACTCACCTCCTCTCCCTGCTGCATCCCTAGTAACAGACAGCGGGAGAGGAGAAGTGTGTGTATGGCCGGTACCCATGTGAGGGGTCTGGGCAGCCTGGGGGGCCTCTTACATGAGTATCAGCTGTACCAGGGGCGGCATGGCAGAGGTGACAGGGGAGGGGGTGGAGGAGGCCTGGCCCCAGCAGCACTAGGTAAGAGGAGTTAGGAGGAAGTACAGTGAAAGGGACCAGCCCACCTGAGGCCCTGCAGAGCCCACCATAGATAGTCTCAGATGGGCTGTGCAGGATCTATGGTGTGCTCTGCAGGGTCACACTCAGGTGGGGTCTCAGGTAAGCCCCGAGTCCAGTGCGTTACTAAGCCCACATATACCTATATACATAGCATAAAGGTAAAAAATGATGTATGCCGTGTTATCTTCATTTTAGATGGCAAAAGGGTTTTGTGGCTCCCGGTGTTTTGTTTTCTGTGGGAAACGGGTCCAAATGGCTCTTTGAGTGTTTAAGGTTGCTGACCCCTGGACTAAAGGAACCGCACACTCAACCAAGGCTTCCCGTTTCCTGAACTTATTGAGGGACAGTTTCTTGGATCACATGGTGGAAGTCCCAGCCACGATGAATGCAATATGAGATCTAATCATTTCAAACAATGTGGAGATAGTTGCAGTCAAAGCAACTTGGGAAAACTTGGGTGACAGTGATCATAGAGTGATTACATTTACAGAAGTGTACAACAAAGAGAGGCATGGCGGTTTGACAAGAACTCAAAACCTCAAAAAGGCAAACTTTGGTAAACTGCCAACCTTACTGCATGATACCAAATGGGACCGGTTAATTCTAACAAAGAACGCTGAGGATAGGTGAGATTGTTTTAAGGATATAGTAAACAATGGCATTAGCCAATGCATATCTTTGGGCAACAGAAATAAAAAAAACAACAGGTAAACCTGCGTGGCTGAATCTGATAGTAAACAGCATATCAATGAGAAGAGGATGGCATTTAAAAAAACATAAGATGTAAGGGACTGTTGGTTGTGTTTAGATGAAGATGAGATCTTGAGGAATGCTAAATTAATGGAGAACTATGGGGGTCAGGGCTTTTCCCCATAGTTCTCCTTAGGGTAACGGGAGGACACAAACTAGCTTCCTTCCATCACCCTAGGCTCAGTATACCGCGAGCTGTAGCTCTCTATATACTGAGACGCCACAGCTGAAGCGGATCCCGACAATTATGTCTGGATCCGCCCAGCTGCATGACTGACAGATGGCTCTGCCTATCTAGAGGAAGAGCCAGCTGTACCCGCCCCCTCCCCCGTCCGTTCCGCCAGTCAGTGCTGGCGGATGAGAGCGGGGAGGGGGGAATCCAGCCCCTCCCCTGGCAGAGAGCCGTGACAGGATC